TATATGGGGCTCCAAGAAACCAGGTTTGTTACAATGAATTTATTTTTGTTAAGATATACCGCTTGAAAGTCCAAAACAACTCACTAACCAAGCTATTAAGAAAATAACGGATAAATTAGCGCACTTAAAATTTGTTGGTTAATAATGAATTAAACTATAAAAGAATAGATTTTATGGCTAATGTTGGCGCAGTGGTAGAGCACTCGCCTTTTAAGTCAGGATCCGTTGGTTCGATCCCTGCCATAAGAAGTCTGATGAGGAGATGTGGTGATCTCCGAAACAGCTGTCACTTCTACCACTTTTTTTTGTTGTATAACAAAATATTCAATTCATACATACAAATCAGGCCTTCAGTCCACTTAGTACTTATATCTAAAATTAAACTATTAATAGTTAATTAAGGGGGGAACCTGGTTTAGAACGCTGAAAATTGCATGATATCCGGCACAGTGTTTTAGGTTGCCTTACGTATGAAATGTTTCAAGTACTCTTGAAATAGGTCATATATACACAAATCTTGTAAAAAAAATTTACTTTCATAACAACATAATTCGAAGAGTCTATTTTGTATACTCGATAGCGATCGTAGTTTTCATCTGAAACATAAAAACGAATACTGTTTTGTAGTTTAGGAGTTGCTCGTCTATGTGAACTTAAGATATTCGAAGAAATGTATAAAAATATTTATTTTATGACTGTTTAAAAAAAATGTTGCGTTTTCCTGAAGAAATTTTAAGATAAGAATTTGACTTTGAAATTTTGTGGAAATATTTCTGAATATATTTCTAATCGAATGAGATAACTTTCGAAAAATCGATTTTTTGACCCTCTAAACCAGGTTCGCCCGTTAATAAATTTGTGAAACAACTGGGTTAAAAATTTTACTATATAGGGAAATGTCAACTTCACCGAGGGTGTTTATGACATGAAATGAAAGCTGCCGACACATAACACAAAGCGCCAATTATATATTATATATTGTGGTAGTACTCACCATAAAATTTTATATAAATTCCATGATCTAGTTCTTGTTCTCACATAACTTACTTTATACCAATATTTTTTTACAATCCATCCATTTTGAGGTTTTGCGTCTTTATATTGTTCTAACAAATAAGGCGCCTACAGTTTATATTAAGCCGTCTCCGAACGGCTGATGGTTTTTTATAAGGAGCCTTTATTTCACATAAGAAATACACTCGGAGGGGTTGACATTCCCTGAGTAGGGGCGACCACAATAAGGAAATTTAACTTAATTTTCTATAACTTTTAGATGTTAGTACGTCACCAGGATTTGAACCCGATCCTTCCGAATGACAGTACGCAATGCTAACCACTCACAGTAAGTTAGAGAGATTAAATAAGTTTGAAGTGATAAGTAATTAAATAAAAACAAATTGTATATACCTACCGTTTTGCTGGTATATTACGCTTATATTCAAACTGTTGTGGTCGTATCGAAGCGCTTCGACCTAAACGCCCAAGCGTTGGCTGTCCAACTGTTGCAATACCACTACGAAGTGATGTACCTAACTCACGATGGTGAACAGCTATAGCGCTCTGTGTTTCAATAGCATAATCTAATCCTGGTAATTCCAGAGACGTTATCGGATGGATGCGTGTAAGGGAGAGCGTACTCTCTAAAACGGTGCTAAGTAGTGGTGCGCTGCGTAGGGATCTCAAACTACCGCGACGCGTAAGAGGTTCTGGCTTATACATTTATAGAGGTTATTGTATTCGGAAATTTTGAAGAGAGAAAGATATTGGGGTCTTAAAGTTTTTTTTATTATATCGGTGTTTATAAATATAAATATGCAATATATATGTAAGCAGGCAAGTTAATCCACTTATTCAATGTCTTAAGAAGTTTCGCAGTTTTCAATATATAATGTGTGTGTATATTGACTTATTCATATATGTAAATGTACATATTTATATTTAAGTATAGTCTATTACACGGCATTAAGATATCAACGCCTTCATTTAGTATGTCACGTAATCTTGCGTGTCCGTCAAGTGTTACACTTTTTTAACTTTGTCGATTTCATTTAGCTGACCAATTGGATGGTGTATTTGAGTCACTTATTTCGCAGCACCATATAGCATACACATACATATGTAACGAGGCTCCGTCGTGTTGCAACAAATGAAATCACTACTTTGAATGCAAGCACGCACAGTAGCAAATGGTTAAACGCGTATGTAGATACATACATTGTAATTATATACATTCACGTGGTATTAATTGACTTTACGGGACACCATCCATCGAGGGTGCCGACGAGATTATATTTCAATATTGTAATAACGTTTTGTTTTGCATACACACCACCATAACGGCCAATTACGTTATTTATCAGCTATTTTTACAGCAAAACTGTTATGTCACGCAATCTTTGTTTTCTTAATTGAATCAAAAGATCTGATTTTTTGTTTAACTGTCAACACGCATATATTATAAGTTGAGAAAAATAGTGATTTTCAAATGAATATTATCTTACAATTATGTATGTAAGTATGAATGCGATTCTAATAAATTCAACAAACGCAGAACAAACAGTTCTAAGTGATCTTAAATTTAATTAATAACCAATAAGATCAGCTTTATTTATTTCAAGTCTACCAACTAGTTTCTAAGTTGCAGTATAGTAATGAGCTGAGAGATTTAAAGGTTCACAATTTTCCTCAAAAATTGTAGACTTTTTACATAAAAGAGACACAAAGTGGTATTTTTGTAAGACCTGCAATTACTTCTCCAGCCAAATGAATTGCAGTGGAAGTACGACACCCGGAGATGATGAACTCGAATTACCAATTGATGGTGATGGTGATGTAACAAAGCAGCACCAATTGCTATTCAAATCTGACGGGAAGAGCTTCTTTCTATGCTATGACTGGACGAAGACATGCCCGACGATTGGTATACCCTGCTCTACTCTCTGAAGAACCGTCATGCAAGGATCTCTCCAAACTGCTTTGTGACAAACGAGATTTCAAACAAGTTGGTTTTATATCGTGTGAGCTCAACTTAATGCTGGATAATATATTAAATACTTTGGCGCTGGAGAGATAAGGTAAAATCTTATCCTAAAACTGACTTCAACAATCGCGCTTTGACGTTTGCTTTCTAATGCTGCAACTACTCAACTCACGTACCATCCGTCTATAGTAACCTATCTTATGAGAGCGCCATGTAAACACAAAGTTGTCACTGCTTGCCCATGCCGTTAGTGACGATTGTCATACAGAAAACAACGGTGATTTGTTTTTTTTTCCGTAAAACCGGCTCGGCTCATTTCTCGTTGCTAAACAAGGTTGCCAGTATTGTTTTTCTTATAGTTATATTAAATAATCGAGAATAATGCATAGTTTTTTTTCAAAAGAAATGAAAAGCAAATGCGTTACTAATTATTTGTTACCGTATAGATCATGTATACTTGTCTTGCGTTTATATTCAAGCATATAAATTATGAAATTCGTTGACGAAAATTATGAATTTGTTCAAAAGTGTGCAAACACACTGACTGCTCGCAGCGTCGATAACTAGTGTATGTATCTCGCCTTGACGTCGCTTGTTATGGACGGTTGGTAAGTAAAATGGGTAGTTGCAGCCTTAAGCAAAGAACAAAACCAAATACGTTTTGCCGCCAAGCAAACGGTCAGCGCCTTTCGTATTGGTTCTCCCATCGGTATATGACATTGAAGTCGTAGGAAATTCCCAAGCAGAACTGTTCTAGCTGACACGTGCTATTTTGGATTACCAGGACTGTTCTCACTGTTACCGGTAATGCAAATTTTGTAACTTTTTTAACATTCGAAATTGAGTTTGGTATTTTAGCGCACAGGTTACAATGTTTAACAAAACTTTGGCAGCACTGCTTTTTTCGATCAGGTCAAACTACATTTGCCCGTTGGTAAAGAATATTCAAATTGAAATGGAAGACGGAGCGCGACAAAGTAAACAAGTTTTATTTATTTCTTTATTAAGTCATAAAAAATTGAGCCTTATAATTGAAAATATGCCAGGATGACAAAAAAAAGCTGAATGAAAACGCTATCTTCCAAGTTAAGATGATCATTTTTTCTTACGCCTTTTTGCACTTTTTTCTTTTTCTTCAATAAATTCTAGACGTAAGCTATGCTTACACATTTTGGTTTTTATTTTTTCTCAAACTAACCTGAAATCAAACAGAAAATATTTTTTTTAGCTCCCATAACGCGGGTAACAAAACTTATAGGGTGACAGTGAACTCAGAATATGAAATAGTAACAAAATTTACTCAATGGAAAATTTTAATACCAAAGTTATTTTTATTAACGCGAAATACTAGGTCTGTAAGTAGGCCTCCTGCTTGAAAAATCACGTTTGGCGTCTAAAGGCGAAAAGAAGAAATGACGCAAAAATTGTCGACTTATTACAGAAAAGAGACACAAAGTGGACTTTTCGCAAGAATGAATGACAGTGAAAATACAACACCGGCAGATGACGAACTCGAATTACTAAACGATGGTGAAGGAATATCCTTTGGGCCACCCGACTATGACAGAATTCGAATAGCGTGAAGGACAACAAAACTGTACCAATTGCTATTCAAATATGATGCCGAAGAGCATCTTTCTATGATATGATCGGACGTTGCTCTAAACACGTACGCGTTACCAACGCAAATTAGTTTCAGATCATATATCTAGGCAGCTTAGGCCTCTATAAGGGAGTTTTGAGTTAAATGTTATGAAATTAACTTTTACTCTCTCATATATTGTATTTTTTCTGAATCCTAACAGTTTTAGATACCAAACTTTAAAAACTCTTGGCTTTATTGTGACGGTTAAGGACGGATGGTATCTTTGCACTACGTTGTATTATCGCTTTATAAGTAAATAAATACTGATATACACTAAATAATTATATATGTTAGCTATATAAATATATATTTTTATGTACATACATAAATATGAATAGATATAAATGTATTTAAATAGAAAAGTGCAATAATTACATGTGTTTTGTCTATTTCTCTCTATAGAATTCCTTATTTTGTCACTTGTTATTTCTCCAGGTGCTTTAGTATTTTCCCGCTCCTTCGATGTTTCGTTTTTCTCTAATCCTTCGATCAGTTTCGTATACGATCTCCACCACTTCAACTGCCGTTGATACTCCTTGCTTTATGATAAAATCTGCTGATGCAACTCCTTGCAATAATCTGGATACTCCTAGAGCACTCACACACGTTTATGCCAGCTGATTTCCGCCGATTTCTCTGTGCCAGCAGCACTTTCTCCTGCAACTCTTTCGCCCGCAGTACCGTCCACCAAAAACTATTTGTGCGTGCTGGTGCCGTTGTTGTAACTTTAATTTTGTACAACATTCAATTGTTTAATCTATTCTGATAATCATGTCGAGTGCAATTTCTCAGAGTTTTCCACCACGTTGAAAGCAGCGCTGCTTTTCGTTCTTCGATCTTCAGTTATAATGTAATTATATATAATATGTATATATTGTGTGAATTTAATTCGTTGAAAGTTGGTTGTTAGGGGAAATTCAAATGTCATTTACATATGGTTTTTCCTTAAGTGTAAAAGTTGTGAATATTTATAAATGAATTCGCGTAAAAACTTGTTATTACTTTTTTTTGCTTTGAATGTATATCTAATGTTTTTAATTAAATTGCATTTCACTACCTTAATTAAATAGATGTACCGTTTCGTATAAAAATTTTGGGGAAGATCGGCGTAAAATATTGCTACAATAATAATAATTGTCTTATTTTTGTATTTTGTATTTATTTAAACACGATCGATAATTATGGATATTATTTTGTTTTTCCTCTTTAGCAAATACGAGTATGTCGTTTTTGAATGTGTGAATTCAAAAATTACGAACACAGAGTCGATGTTTATGTTGGTGCCTTGTTGTGCTATTCTTTTAGGAGCTATGTGATATCGTCATACTTTGCTTATGTATGTATGTGTTGGTGCACTTTGGCGATTATGTATATGATAATTACGATAGTACACAATTGTAAGCTACGACTATATAAATCCATATGTAAATGGCAATGTTTTATTGTGTGTGAAATGTGAACACATTTATTACTCTCTTCCGTTGTTGGCTTATTTATTTTTAGTAGATCATTTGAACATTGATTGATTGACTACGAGTTTTCTTGAATGTTGTGCTGCCGCATTTACGCAGCAGAGCCAAGAATTAGCAAATCAAATGGGTAGCCACATTGTGCTCCCATGATTGCAAATGCACCATAGAAACGTGTATTGCCACCGAGTCCAATCCATATTTGCATGCGAGAATTTATAATTTACAATTTGAATTTGATCGAACTGTTTACAACTTTAATTCAGCTCCTCATCGTTGGGAATGATCTGAAATGAAAAATTCGAGTTTATATTTAGTTTAGTTGTATAAAAAATGCACAAGCAAAGTAAACAAACAATAATAATTTGTATTTAAATATTTTTATCATCAAATAAGGTGAGTATGGTCTGGTCCATTTACATGCTCATGGAATGTAAGCAAATTATTAATCACATTTTTAAATATACTCGTTCACCCAGTTTAATAGACGATACCTGAAAAAGCAGCAAAACGATCAAGTAATTAACATAAGTTGAAGAGGTTGCTAAACACTGAAAAAATGTCGCAAGAAACTACATTTGTTTGACAGCATTTAACCAACTGTTGCTAACTACTGAAATATTTGACACCCCAGAATACAAAATAACTAGCGTTTAATATTTAGTTTAAATCTTTTTATTTAATATATTTACCCCTTTTTATTTTTTTTTATTAATATTTAAAGGTTTTTTTACTTGAACATTCCTCGTCTTTTATGTGTTACCAGAAAAAGTCCTTTCTTTGTATTGAGCAATATGCCAAGCCGATCAAAAAATATTTGTAATAAAAATAACTTTGAAATTAAAAGAAAAAAAATTATGTTTCCCAACGGAAATGAATCTTTTGGATTTCGAAAACAGCTGGTACGATGAGGACTGCCATGTCGTAGTGGAGAGAGAACAGCCTACCTACCTCGCAACCGTTCGATGGACCACAACACGTGCAGGATGGGATAGATATTGAGAGCTGAAGAAGAAAGCAAGACATATTTGCCGACAAAAAGGAAAGAGGCCGAAAAGGTTATTGCTTGAAAATTTTATGAAAAGATACGATGACTTACAGAATGTTTTAAGACCGGAACAGGCTTAATAGGGCAAAGAGGGATGATTTAGTAACGGATAACCAGAGTATACTGAATTTATGGAGAGAATATTAATCCAGCCTACTGGAATATCAATTGACCGCTTGAAAAACAAGAAAGCGACGGGGGCCGATTTGAAAAATATGGTTGGATGAAAGCATTACCGACGATTGGAGTCTAAGTGTGCTCAGCCTCATTCAGAATAAGGACGATACCATAGTCCATATATTAACTGTATAAGACAACATGGACCTTATCAGTGTGGCTTTAAACATAAACCACCATATATTCATCATGCGTCAAATCTCGGAAGAGATCCGTGAAAAGAGAATCGACATACATTACCTCTTAAAGCAGCCTTCGACAGCACTAAAAGGAGCTGCCTTTACGGCGCTATATATGAATTTGGTATCCCTGCAAAACTAATACGGCTATAGAAACTGAGGTTAACCAACACCGAAAGCTCCATAAGGATCGGGAAGGACCTCGCAAGTCGCTCGATACCAAACAAGGTTTCAGACAATTTTATTCCTTATCGTGTGACTATTTTAGTTTGTTGATGGAGAAAATAATACGAACTGCAGAGCTGGATGAAGAAGGTACAATCTTCTAGTCAAGTAAACAAATAACGCCCATAGTATTGACATCATTGGCCTAAACAACCACGCCGTGAGCTCTACTTTCTTTGGACTAGATAATGAAGCGAAGGATATGGGTCTGGTATTGAGTGAGGGAAATACTAGATATCCCCTGTCATAAAATAAAAAGTCATCATATTTTCAACTAAGCTAGATAGGCTTCGTCTATCTTGGAACCAGTTGTAACACTAACAACAATGTCAGCCTTTAAATCCTAAGCAGAGTCACTTTTCCCAAAAGCTGTTACTTTGGACTGTGAAGGTAATTGAAGATAAAGGTCCTCTTTCTAAAAGTCGCCTTTCGTTCCCGTCCTGCTATATAATGCAGATGTATAAAGGATTACAACTTCTGATTTGTTGTTTTCGAGAGAAAGAATCTGCGTTAGATTCATGATCCTCTATGAGTTGGGAACGACGAGTTGTATAAGATATAATGCAACTCTGATATAGTTCAGCGAATTAAGAAACAGCGGTTACGCTGGCTGGATCATGTGGTCCGAATGAGAATGTTTCCGCTTTGAAATATTTCGTTGCAATACCCGCCGTAAGCAGAGAAAGAGGAAAATCTTCAACTAGCGCTAAATGGCGAAAAGAAGAATTGAGGAGGAGGGTGATGATAACTATTATATAATTGTAGTGGTACCTTAATTTTCCAATGGGGTCACAATTGAAATGCAAGCGTCGACTCCCTTCGCGCCAGCCACAAAGCTCCACCCAGAGGTACAAAGAGAAGGCTTGCCGTAGTTGTGGGCGAAACGTAAAACGCATTTTTGGAAATCGCCCAAACACAAGCCAATAACTTTGATATACGACAGGAATATATATTTTTTTTGTCGTTTCGTTTTCTTTTCCAAAAGATACTAACAGAGTCGAGAGTAGCGCCCACCCATATTACAAGCAGCTAATAGTTGTTAGCTAAAAACAGTGCGGCGAACGCGTCAGAGGGTATGACCGCTGTGCGGATAGAACCTTAAAGTATATTAATAGAGTTGGAACTGTAAGAATACCTAAAGATAATATTATTAGCGATTTTTCTGCAGTTGTTGCTGTTGTTCAATTGCCTTTTAGTTGGCTATCAAGTTGAGAAACGATTTATTCAAGTAAGTCTGGCGTTAATCTATACCTTCTACTGCTCAAAGCAAACTTCCATCCAATTTAGAAGGGAGGATACCTCCTCACCTCGGTATAAAACGAGTGCCATTTTCTTAAAAGCCATTTGTGTTTATTATTTTCTTTTTATTTTCATAGTATAGCTTAGGTAGTTTCCCGATTTACTTTACTTTATTTCAACCTTAATGAAATATCATGGCGCTAACAACTTGAAAATATTCGTCGGTTAGTTAGCGCTTTGTCTAGTAGTTTTCGACAGCAGCTGATCAAGAGATAGAGAATATCTTCGAAAAAAGTACAGGGAATATTAAAATCATTAAATATATCGCTAAAATATTTTAACGATCCTTAAAAGCTGCACTCGCTAGTGTTTCCGCAAATGAGCAACCTCATGTCTTTTCAAATTTCGTCAGTCCCACTGCCTTTGTCTTACCAACACTATAATCCAAAATGCGGTTAATAATGGGCTGTCAAATATCATTTCGCATTTGGTGTGAAATAGCAAATTCTTTGTTTTATATTCTCATTGAGGGGAAGGCTTCATCTCTGTATGCATATCGTTATTCCTTGCCTAATGATTTTGCTTCTTTCGCTTTTGTTTTTATTGCTTGTATTCCAGCTCGTATTTATGTCATTTACACTGATTATTCCACAGTTGTTATGCTCAGTTCGGTCTTCATTGTTTCCATTGAGACGGGCGCTTGTTTTGTTATTCGCCAAATGTTTAACAGCCCTTTACTCTCTTTCCTCAGACGCATTCATACCACCATAGTAGAACCCCATCACAGATATCTAATATAATTGTAAGCTGAGCTGCTAAACTGTTTCACTGTAGGAGGGCCTGCAGCACGCACTCTGCGGCTCATTGCTTTGGCTATTGGACAGACTGAAAATGCCATTGCTGGTGGTCGTAATTCAATTGTGTTGTGGTCAATCGTTGAAAATCATACCAAATTGCTTGATTTTGATTTGATTTGCGTAGATTACAATCTGTGCCCGTTCGCATATTAAGCAGATTACAGCCCATGGATAGTCAGCGTTCAGGATTCAGCTCAGCTCATTTCTCGACAGTATGGTATGTACAGTTGATGACTGGCCTTTTTACTTGAGTGCCTTTCATTGTTTATAGGGGATATCTTTTGGTTAGTAGCTTGTTGGGCTGGTTATCTACGTAGCTGTACAGTTGGGCGGTTACTTAACTTGTGGGCGGAAATAGGCTCAACGTAATGACTTTAACATGGTGGATTTACAAATCCACTTTTCACACTGTGTAATAGAAATAATAGAATTCATTAGAGGGCAGAGACGAATCTTGCGCCAAGCGTCACATTTACCCTACAAGGCTCTGCGCACATTTAAGTGGTTACCGTCGGAAGAGGAGAAATCGTATCAACAAAACTAATTTAATTATACCTTTCATGAACAGGAAATGGTATGTGAATTGACCTTGATATGAACGAAATAAGAACCAGAAGAATATATCCATCAACAAAAACTAGTCTTGAGTCAGCTTGTGAGATATTTTAACAAAGTTTGGTGGGCAGGAGACAATAAGGCATTTAAATGATTGAATTTAAATAAAATAAATACATACCCGACATGCTTTGTGAATATCTGCAACCATTAACATCTAAACTAAACTAAATATTATATTCATGAAAGGTATGAATACTTCGGCATTGCCAAAGACAACACTAACGTTTTTGTTATAAAACGTAAGTTTATTTGTTTTTAAAATGCATCCCTTAAGGAGCAGGCAAATCTCTTTGATTTTTTCACAAATAATTGAGTGAGATTGGCCCAGATGTGTGCGCAATAAAGGATAGAAACCCCTTAAGCTCTATTAAATATTGTAAAATTAAAATACAAATTGGTAGATGGAATAATAATGAAAGATTTTAAAGGTGATATGAAAAGAATTTGATTAGCACTTTAGTGAAACTTGCCCCTTTCATTTTATTGGTCGGTGGAGTGATTTTGCGTTAATTTTATGCAGATTTTTTCTTTACAATATTATAAGGAAATTTTGCAACAGAAAATATTAACTTGGATATAACTATGTGCTGATGCCAAGTGAAAAACTGGAGGCAAGTACGTCTTTGGCCATGCCGAGGTCTTAACACCTTTTATTAACAAACCAAATTTATTGCATTTGGCATGATGATTTACAGTAACAATATTAATTTCAATCCTTTTCTTGGCGAATTTTTGACCTAAAATCTCATATTAGAAAATATTGGTTTTGTGGGATCTACATGATAGCGGACCGATCTGGGCGGCTCCGACAAATGATCAATTAATCACAATCATCCGCATACAAAGTTTCGTTAAGATTTTTCAAAATTGAGAGACTAGTTAGGGCTCAAACATACGAATGGACACGACTAAATCAACGCAGCTTCATGTTCATGAAAGTTATA